CTGCGTGCTCCCTGCCGCTCTTGCCCCAGTCACCTCTCACCTCCCCGGTAGCCATCCCTTCCCTCCCCATGCCCCTGGCTGTGTGACCACAGCATTTACCTGTCAGGAAATTCTGGTACCTGGGCTGGGTCCTGCTCCCTGGGGAGAAGCAGAGGGCAGGTCACGCTGGGTTCAGGCTGAGCAACGGAGCCATGCGGGGTGAAGCCACCAAGCTCTGCAGCATCAGCAGCTCTGCCCCACTCTGCTCTTTGCTCAGGGCCAGCGGCCACGGCTGCAGAGTTGGACATCCCAAGGTAGAGATGTTTGGATGGACAGGGGTGATGTTTTAAATAATCTGGTCCTGTGGCTCTAACCAGGACAGGTCACCCCTAGCAGGATGAGCACTGGATTTTAAACTCAGACCAGCCACAAGCGTCATGCATAGGTGCTAATAACAGGAGTGACTTTTATCATCGCCCAGCTTGTTTCCAAGTTAAAACCCTGTCATGCCCTGCCTGGGGTCCAGCAGTGAGTAACCCGTTTCTCAGAGGCTCCAGTTTCCCAAAACCAGTGGGAGCTCCCAGCTGGCACCTACAGAAAGGAGATGAGACATGCAGCATCCCCATTTATGAATTTTTTTTGGTAGGTGTTTCCCCCGTGGCCGCATAGATGGAGAGATCATTGGAGCATTGAACTGGTGCCCATCCTGGAGGAATGCTCACCATATCCAGGGCGGCAGGAGGCACTGAGCTCCTTGGTGGTCTTCCTGAAAGAGAGAAAAGGGAGATTAAAAACCCAGGTCTGAGTAAACAGTACCAGGGGTTACAAACCACTGCAGTGGCCAGAAGAACCATCCTTGAAACCTCCGTGTGAGGCTGTCACAGGAGTCACATCGAGCAACGGGAGATGAAGGGTTTGGGGTCAAATCCCAAGATGGCAATAACCATGCCTGAATTATTGCAGAATTATTGCAGCAGTGCAGTTCTTGGGGGTTTTGGTGATGGGGAGAAGGGGGTTTCTTGTGTCAAACTGCTTATAAGCAAAGAACAGTGGGGTTTTTTTCATGATGTACCTACTACTATGTACAGCCACAGCTCATTTCCTTTGATTTGATTTAAAAGTTTGCCAGCAGAATGCAGCCAAACAGAAGAAAATCCAGAAAAAGTCTAAACCCATTATTGACCAACAACAAAGTACAGCCCAAGTCAAGTCTACAGGGTCCAGAACCCAATCCCAGATCCTGAACATTTGCATGTGTTGTGTGAAGTATATCCAAACTTGGCTCTGTGGCTAGGTTTTGGGTTGTTTTTTTTACCTACCTTGCTATCAGTAAGTTTTCAGGTTCCTTAATTTGTTCCAGCCTTTGGGTTGTAGCTAAGAACAAAATAAGATGTTAATTATTATGGCAGCAGTGGGTATTTCAATGAGCACGGAGCATCCAACACAGAGGATTCCCCAGTACGGGTGAGCATTTTTCTAACACATCCCAAAACAGCTTCAAAATCATTACTTGAAAGTACGTAGTACCCCAAATGGGAAAGAAATAGAGAAAAAGCTGCTGTGTGTGCAGACCACAGAGCTGGCAAACACACATGGGAAAAAGCTGCAATCCAAAACACTACATTATTGCCTATTTTCCCCCAAACCCACTTGATCTGGGGACCTTTCCTACACTCAGCCAGATGCCCTGGTAGGTCCCGAGCTTTGGTGGGGCTGGGCTGACGCAAAGACTCATAGGGAGACTGTGGGGCTCGAGCCCAGCGAAAGGAGCAGCACTGCAGCGCCCGACTGCAGACGGTGACATTTAATACAGACTCCACCAGCTGTTCATCTCGGGTTAAAAATCAGCCCAGCCTGACCAACCCCAGTCAGCACCCAACCCAGCTTGCACAGGAAGCAGTAAGGGGGTGATGATAAATGAGTCACTCCCATCCATTCGGGTTCACCTACACACTTGGTTTCACAGGGCAAAGAGTGTGGTTTAAAGAGCCCAGGTTAACAAGGTGCTGCATTTCAAAGACGTTGCTTTAGTGATTTATTTTCAATATGAAGGGAGATTTTCCCCTAGAGCTCAGAAATTGCATCCCTAGAAGCCTCTAAGGTAGCTCGGACAATCTCGGTCTAACATCACTTCACCGCCCAGCTTCCAGGTCACCCTTTTATTTTTACTTTTCCCCATTCTGTGCACACAGGAGCCCCGTGCAACGTCTGTACTCACTGGAATGGGACCGAATCACTTCAAACCTCTGCTGGCTTTTGAGCCTGGAAAAAACAGAGGTACAAGCTCAGCTGAATTCTGGGGTCTTTGACAAGGACAATGGATGGAAGAGACCTCCCTGTTGGGTGAGTGGAGTGAGCACAGCCTCCATGCCAAGGTGCCTTTCTCAGTGCATTGTGCAGGACCCACATGAGCTGGGAGCATCTTCCCAGAGTCCTCTTTGACCCTTTAAAGTCAAGATGTGCTTATGGACTGCTGACAGAGCAGCCACCATCAGCTAAGGGAAGGACTCAGGGATGAGGAAAACATCACTTTGGATAATTCCTACTCTGATGCTTTATGCCCCAGTTAAGACCAGAAGAGCATTTTCACCACAAGAAGACACGGTGTTTTCCCATGAAATGGCTTCAAACCCCAGTGCGTCACCTCTGCTGCTGTCCCTGCCCCTCCCAAGATCCCTTAACATCAACCTGAAAAAAATAACATACGTGATCCGTGATAGAAGTCACACATATACTCATAACCTCTTTACTTTTTAGTTAAGAGGAGAGCTGCTCTTCAGAGCACAACAGGATTCATTGACTCTTCTACTGCAGGCACATGCAAGCTCTTATTAATTCTGATCTTGGGACCCTGAAAGTGTCTCTTTCTCCCCCCCTCCTTTATTTGGGTCATCCCTCCACCTCAACCCAGCGTTCACAGCACAGGGCTGGTAACGAGACAAGGCATCAGGCAAAGGACCTCATTGTAAAGTCTGCATATTTACAGAGTTAAACCTGTTTGCTCACAAAAGGCCCAAACTAACCCAAAAGAGATCTCCCAGAAGAGCACACAATACCACGAGCCTGAAGGCAAACCACATAATCCAGGTATAAATTTTAAAAGGTCAGGATGACTCAGTATGAGCCCACAGGGAACAGAGCCTGCGTTGGACCACACTGGAGTCTTTCCCCCAGTCCCAGGCAAGCGTGCAGAATCAAATCCCCAACTCCATGGAGACCTTGGCAGACCCTCTCTGCCCCACATTTTCTCCCATATCAAGGGTTAGAAGCCAGCTTTTTTATTTCTTTATACAATCTAGCTGTGGTTTGTCCGTTGCTGAAGGAAATAAGGGGGTGGGGGGTGTACAGTGCATTTCCTTCACTGCTGGTGCTGCAGGTCGGTGGTTGCTCTGGCACAGGGGCGTCCCACCGCCAGCAGCCAAGGGCAGGGTCCTGCTTATGGAGTTACCAAGCTCTCCACCTCATCTCAGTGCATGACAGGAGAAGGACTTGCCCTTCCAATACACCCAGACCTTTTCCCAACTTGTTAATGACTCACGTGCATCACAGTCAGAGCTTCAGTTTTATTTTGGATTACTCTTTATAAAGCCATTACCCCTTCAGCAGTGCCCTGGACTGGGATATGCTGCCCTGCACACTCCATTCTGGAAATATTTTGTTTCATCTACATCCAGATTTTGGCTGTGGGGCACAGAACATGCCTGGCTCTGGCCAGGGTGTCACCCTGGGTGAGCTGCTTGTGGGAGAAACATGACTGTGAAAGGCAACTTACTGGCTCTCCCGCTCACTCGGGTGCTTCTCTCGCTTGGTACCTTGAAGAAAAGGGGGAAAAAGAAACCTCTTAGGTTGATTCAGGAGTTAAAGATCATAAAGACCAATAAAACATGTTCACAAAACTTCTCTGGCCAGGAGGATGAGAAGACCGTGGAGGCAGTGAGCAGCAGTTGCAATAGAGTTTTAATTTATTTTTTTTAAACCATGTCTTAAGTGTATTTGTCTTGTACACCGCAACGCCAGCCATGCCTGTCCCCAGAACCCCACCCTGCAGCCTCTCTCCCCCAGTAAAAAACTCCCAGAGGTGGGCTTGAACCCCCATGCGTTCCCCTTTCCCACCCCAGGGGAGGAGTGCTGCAAGGTTGAGGGGTCTTCTCCCCCCCTGCAAGCTGCTCCCTGGCCACCAGCAAAGACCATTCCCAGCTCAAGCTGCTGGAAGCATCCCCACGAGGGCAAAGCTCCCCGAGCTGGCACATGGCTGAGCTGGGCCAAACCCACCCAAATGGGACAGCCCAAGAGGGAAGGGTCTGCCCAGTGTGATCCACTCCCCAGCCCAGGGCCACAGGAAGGACTCCAAAACGCGGGTGCAGGACCTTACCAGAGAGCTGGCACTTGACACAGAGGCTGACAGTGGCCCCCAGCAACATCAGCATGGCGGCCACCCACAGCAGCTCCAGCTGCGCCATGGCCTGGCTGCATCCAGCCTGAAACACAGCGGCAAGACGGGCTCCGTGAGCATCGGGCCACACGGGGCTGTGTGGCCACCCCTTGGAAAGATTTATCCCTTAAACATCCACAAGCTGTCTGCCTCCACACCCTCAAAGAGCCGGATGCACGCTGCGGACACAGAAAAGACTTTGGGGTTACACCAAGTAAGTCCTGAGCACTCCAGAGCCAAGTCCCCATTTCACTGCAGGGAAGAGAAAGAGTTCACAGAGTCACAGCATGGATTGGAAAGGACCTTAAATTTCATCTGGTCCAACCTCTGTCATGGGCATGGACACCTCCCACCAGCCCAGGCTGCTCAAAGTCCCGTCCAACCTGGCCTTGGACACTTCCAGAGAGGGGGCTTCTCTGGGCAACCTGTGCCAGTGCCTCATTGCTTTCATTTCTTCCCAATATCTAATCTAATTACCCCTCATCACTACACGCCCTTGAGAAAAATCCTTCCCCAGCTTTCCTGCAGCCCCTTCAGGTACTGGAAGTCTGCTCTAAGGTCTCCCCAGAGACTTCTCTTCTCCAGCTCTCTCACTCGGTCCTCATAGGAGAGATGCTTCAGCCCTCTGATCATCTTTGTGGCCTCCTCTGGACCCGCTCCAACAGCTCCAAGTCCTTCTTATGTTGGGGGCCTCAGAACTGGACACAGTGCTCCAGGTGGGGTCTCACCAGAGCAGAGCAGAGGGGCAGAACCCCCTCCCTGGCCCTGCTGGCCACACTTCTTGTGATGCAGCCCAGGGTGCAGTTGGCCTTCTGGGCTGTGAGTGCACATTGCCGGCTTATGTTGAGTTTTCCATCGACCGACACCCCCAAGTCCTTCTCCTCAGGGCTGATCTCAACTCATCCTGCACCCAGCCTGTATTTGTGTGTGGGATTGCCCTGATCTATGTGCAGGACCTTGCACTTGACCTTGTTGAGCTTCATGCAGTTTACACGAGCCCACCTCTCAAAGTTCACAGGGTTCCCCTCAGGACATTGGGTTTATACCCACTTGGATTTACTCTTTTCCAACCCCATAACCCATGTTGCCATCACCATCCTCAGCAGATGCTATTTTTTAATATTCAGAAAAGATGGCAAACAGGGAGGCACTGTGAAATATTCAAAGCTGCCAAAACCTTTTTACAAGGTGCTCCAGTTTTTTCCCCTGTAGGACAGAATTACTTCAAATGTTAAAATCCCCCCACTTTTTCCTGCATTGAGCTGGCTCAGACACTGGCTCTTCCCCTCCTTTCTATGCCAGGCTCTTCGACAGCAGCACCTAACACTTCATAATAACCAGCATGACTTGGCTTCAATTTCTTCCTTTTAAACACAAAATATCCCAGAAATACCACAGAAAACAGCCTGCTGGGTCTGAGACAGATTGTTTAGCTCATTTCTACTCCCTGGGGCCAGATTTTCTTTACTTACAGATTATTTTAATTTATTTTTGTTTTTTAAGAAACTACTTCTCTAGCCCCTAGGGATGGAGATGCTTCAGTTTGCCAAAGACCAGAACGTCATTGCTCTGCCTGGTAGGAAGCTTTCCTGCCACCTAACCCCAATCTCCCTTATTAAATTTCAGGCTTATATTATACAGATATAGCCACTGTATATAAAAAGTATCTATAAAATTTATAATTAAACTAATTAAAAATAATTAAATACCAATATCAGAGGAGAGAAAACAGCAGCTTGATTCTGCCTTGCTCAGTACCTTCTGCCTCCACTTACGTAAAATGGAATAAATGATATTTCTCTGTCCAAACTGCAAGCCACACAACCACCCCGCTCACGCAGCAGAACACCCAAAGGTCTCCTTGCAGCACTCGAGCGTCTCGGTGCCGAGCATCTGCCCACCCCTGCCGGTTGCTCAACACAATGGGAGCGATGGCCAAAGGATGGGGCTGACTGCCCATCAGCATCCCTTCAGTGGTGCCCAACCATGACCTGGCTGCCCAAAAGTGACCCCACACCTCACAGGATGATGACTTGGCCTTGAGATCGTCCCCTCTGCTTGTAAGCAAACTGGGATTCCTGGGCTCACATGGATATTGCAACTCCTGGCACTCACTTCATCGTGGCTTTGCTCTTTATAGACCCCTTGGCCGCCTTTCCCTGCAAAGTTTCTTGCAGCACTTTCTGAAGAAGCTGAGATGAGTAGTTTTAGATGAACACCGTGCCCAGATCCCCGTGGACCCACCCCGGAGGTGCAGGACCAGCACACTCAGCTGCAACCGGGACATCAGGGATGGAGCCTGGTCAAAACCATGTGGTTCCTCACATTGTTTTTCTTTGACTCAGCATCCCCCATGGAAATCCTGAGCTGTGGATCAGCTCTAAAGTATCTGCAGAAAGCAGCTAGGGGAAGTTGGCCCAATGCTGGTGACCAAAATTCATTGCACAAAGGGCTGTAACACTGCTGGTTTGTTTTGCTGGTTGGGGTATTTTTTTTCTTTTTCTGTTTTACTTGAGAGAGAGCTGAAGGCATCTGTCAGCCCTGACCTACTTTATATCCTGTAGGACTGGCCAACATGTCTCTTCTAGAGTCGGTTTTATTTCCGCAGCAGGGCAGTAACGCAGCAAACCTGGGCTGCTCTGAGCCCCTCACTCAACAGGAACACAAAAGGTGGCTATTTGCGTGGGCTGTCATCCCCATCACGCCACCCCCCAGCAAAACCTCCAACTCAAGCACACCACCAGCCCAGAGGGTATTTTTTGTGTTCACCAAACACCCAAGTCCATGCAAATCCTTTCCTTTGGTACAAACACCTTTCTCGTAAGGAGCTGGTGGAAGAACGTGATGAACAGATTTATGACAAGCAGAAGGCTGGAGGCACTTACAGCTTGCAGGATATCAATAAAATATTTGTAAGGCTGAGCGTGCTTTCCCTGCTCTCCACCTTGGGGAGACGGCAAGGAGAATAAATAGGGTGGAGCCACCAAGGGCTGTGATGGGAACCAGGCAGATCTGAAGGGTGCCTGGAGTTAACGACTGGGGACCAGCCTTGCTTTCAAGATATTAAATTCAAACACAAGGAGAAAACATGTTCCTATCTAGTTTCAGCTCTTCAAGAGTAATATTCAGAGTGGCAAAGCACCTTGTTCTCTTTATACGCTTCTCTCTTCTTCTTTTATATGGCTTTTTTTCCTCTTTTTGTGCTGGTAGAAGTTTCTCCTTGGACGAGGCAGCCGGCTCAGCCAGGGCACACATCTCGACATTGAGCGCTACCCATGCACTGCAGCCCCCCAGGTATCCCGGGAATCACTCCCAGTAAGGGATTCACAGGAGAGCAACACGTGGGAGGCTGGATACAGCTACGATCTCTGCAGCACAGCCCCACACCATCCCAAACAGGGGCTGCTCTTTTCATGGCCTCAAACATTACTAGCAATGAAAGAACAAACCTTTTTATTTTAATGAGAAGAACGAAAGAACTTGGTGTGGAAGGTTTCTAGTAGTAAACTAAGGATTAAAGCCAGTAATGAGGCTCACTATAAACAGCTAACGGAGGGGCGTTTGTTTTAGCAGGGAAGACCAAAGCATCTCTGGCTTTTAGGTCTGCTAAAGCAGAGCCTGAGTACACGAACATTCCCTGTCCTTCTCACAGAATCACAGAATGTCAGGAGTTGGAAGGGACCTCAAAAGCTCATCCAGTCCAACCCCTGCCAGAGCAGGATCACCAGACCAGGTCACACAGGAACACGGCCAGGCGGGTTTTGAATGTCTGCAGAGAAGGAGACTCCACAACCTCTCTGGGCAGCCTGGGCCATGCTCTGGCACCCCCACAGTGAAAAAGTTTTTTCTTAAGTTTATGGAACCTCCTGTGCTCCACCCTGCACCCACTGCACCTCGTCCTATCATTGAACATCACTTAGATGTCCGTAACTGGACATCTGTCCAACAGAAACACCAAAGCGAGAAAAGCTGCTTAAATTTAACTAAGACAACACTGGCATATAAAATGAGTGGGCACAAGCTGGATATGCACAGGCTAGAAATAAAACTCCCAATGGATGGAAAGTCTGGGAGAACTTTCCCATGCTAGCAGAAGAGGCAAAAACTTGCTTAAAAACCCTTAACAGTACTTAAAATGTACTTGAACTTTTTGCTGAAAATCCAGGACAGTGAGGACTGTGCTGGTGTGGCAACAGTGCAAACGGCTGGTTTTGTGCAAGATCATTGCTCATAAAGTCATTTCAGCCTGTTGGAGACATCACGTTCACATTGCAAGATAAAGACTGAAATTGCAGGTTTGTGCCATGTGTTCAACCTATTTGTAAAAAAAAATGCCCAGAAGGGCAATATAGAACAGTCTTCTCCTCTGCAGAAAGTTCTGTGGTCTGCTCCAGTTTGCAATAAATTAAGGCTAATTTAGAATGATTGTATGAGTCACTGGCATAAAATATGAAGTGGAGAGTTTATTTAAAACCTCACCATATGAATTTTAGCGCATGGACTTGTTGAACAGATGCAATATTCAGATGACTCAATGTCTCTAACATTTCTAAGAAAAGAAACACTACTTTCTGTTTGTCTACAGTGCAGATTGCAACAGAAAGTCCTGTGAATTTATAAATTCAAGTCTCAGACCAAGGAAGCTCCTGTGGTTCAACCACTCTCAATGACCAGCACTGAGCCTCCAGAAAAGCTCCTTTCCAGAGGCCTGCACGTCCTGTTTCCTACCAGATTTTATGCCAGTGTAAAATTTCTTAGGAAAACTGCCGCAGCATAGATAAAGTCTGGTTTTGCACAGCTATTCAAGCAGAACATTTTATTCCAGGGGAGCGGGAGACGCGTTTGGGTAGAACATATGACAAGAGGGAAAATTGGAATGGATAAAACAAGTTCAAATTAGATTATCGCTTCATAAAACGCTTTGGAAAACCTCATGTGGAAAATACAGCACAAAATCCTAACCACAACAAGGAACACGAGGAGGCAATTCACAGAAATATCTGGTGTTTGTCCTTGACTTCCCCTGTC